TGAGTTTGTTTGATTCTTGCACTTAGAACCTTAATTTGGACTAGTTAAGTAGAATAATATTACATCAGATCATGAATTTTGGTTTTAACAACTGTGAGTATGAAATGGTCATGCAAATGCAATCCTCCAGATTGGTTTTGTCTTGTAGATTGCTGCACACGCACGCATGCATAACAGTTGGCGTGCACAACCAATTAATATATCTTCATTAGTTCAGCAGTCACTGATTTTTCTTTGTCAACTGCAGCGCTAATTCTACACTAACATCTCAGGTTACTGCATAACTTTTGTTAACCCATTTAAACTTATGATATGTGGATTATTTAGTCTCCATATATTGATGGATGGTCTTAACACCTTAATTAATAGTAAGGGCGTCTGCCATAGTGTGCAGCCTGGCTAAAATTAATGGTGCTCTGTATTTTCTCGCTTTCGGTCTATGGAGGCTGCAACCGTACGATAGTTTTATACATTCCAGTTGAGCAATGTTCCCGTGTAAAAAATTTCAGACAAAAACTTTATATTCTCCTGCAATTCGATCACCTTAACTACATGACAAAATGAATAGCTAATGTTCTCCATGAACACAAGAAAAACCTGTTATATCCAACCAAGATCTCTCTATCACACCCTCGCATCAACCATAGACCTTATGCTTGAAATTGAAAAAGGAATAAACACTCTTATTGATTAATATAATTCGGTACAAATAATGAAATAAAAGCTTCATTACATAATTTAAAAGCAAACAGAGCTAAAGAACTCATCATGAAAAGAAATAAGTACTTAACTACACCCGTAATGACAATTTATGACCAAAACACAATTAACAAATCAAATAACAACGATATGTTTAATAAAAGATTGAAAGAATCACTGGTGTGTGAGTCGCTATTTAGTGTCCCTCACCAGGACTTGGTCCAGATTTCGTAACTCCTAAAGTCTGAGCATCCGTGAACTCGTGACCCTTTCCTCCTGCACTTGGACCTCCGGTTTTAATAGCTTGAATATTCAAGCCATCGAACAGAATCTCGATCCCTTTGTTTATAGGGTTGCGGGACGGCGCATCATTGAGAGGACGAGCTTCTGAAATGAATAGAGAAGAGCTTACTAAAAGAAGAAGGAAGAATAAGCAAAGAGACTTGACAGTTGTAGCCATTTGGAAGGTGAATGAATGCTTTGGTTAACTTGGGCTCAACTGAATATTCAGAGAAAGTTGTGTGGTTTGATATGCAAAAAGAGTGGAGCTTGGTGTGGTATTTATAGAAGCTCGCAGCAACGTAGATATGCAAGAGCAAAATTTGAGTGAGGAAAATATGAGGAAGTTGGCCACCGTTGAAACACGTGGGCGTTTGTGACAAATATGGGGCCGCCTCCTCATCAAGGAATGAGAAGTGAGAACGTCAGTCCTTAGGTTGAGGAAGGAACGCATTAAAGCAGAATGTAGTCCAAGTTTGAAGTTTCATCTAAGTAGTTGAATATGAAGTTTGATTGAGATAATTTTCTTTATTAATTTACTTAATTGTATGCATCTTTTTAACTAATAGCTTTGCCCTGCGTAAGACCCTGCGTAATACTTTTAAAAAGGCAATGTTAAGTGGGATTTGGGGACCAATATTGTCTGCTCATTGGCACCAACATATAGCAGTTTGTGCGAAACTACATCATCATCAATATATACATTGATGGTTTCATGTCATCGTTAGATTTGAATGAAACTTCTGGTCAAGGTGTCATATTTGACGGTGATGAAAGCATCATTTCCCATTTCCCCTCTACAGTAATATCTCCTTGTAACCATTTATACAGGTAGATGCATACGGATTCCTTATGGTTGGATGGTGGGGTCAAATTGAATCTGTATGCTTCCAGAGGATTATTCCAAGTTTTTAGTATTCTGCTGATTGCTGATGTGTGGCAGAAATAACAAAAATTAATAAATTTCCATTCTTTCCCTTAGTTTCCTCTTCGATTCTTGTATATACCAAACTAAAACTTATGATAATCACATTCATGTGATAACCCCATAGAAATTTATGAAAACTATTTTCCATTTTCCTCAAAACTTGAGAATGTTCAACCAAATATTGTATTTTCTACCCCAATTTATCATCTTTCTCAGATAGTAACAGGGAATCTACAAGTTTTCTTTTTATGAGTCAAAGTTTAGGTTAGTCAGATTAGTGCACAGCTAACTAGTCATAATTTTCTTGAACAAGAATTGGAAATTAGAAACGTTGAATACGGAGATTCAACTTTAGATCCTACAAGGAAAGTTCATTCGAGTAACTGGATTCTAAGGAATGGCCTGCCCAATATACGACCACTGGTGCTTTTGATGTTTGGTTAGACGAGAATGGTTGATCTTTGTATCGTAGCTTTTGATTCCTACCCTTTGGCTTTCACACGTGGAACTAAATTAACAAACAAATTCAAACTCGATCACCTTAAAGTTCCGTGCACTACTGTAAGAAATTTAACTTACACTTGGTATCTTTTTTATATGTACTAGTTTGGACTAAAAACAGAAATACTGTACTACAGTCTCAAACAATGAAATTAGACCTTATGGGCTTACATGGTTATGCAAGTAGGATTTGATTTACATGGTTACACTCAAACACTTAAAACTTATTCTATTCAATCTAATCCAATTTCATGGAACTAGTCAAATTTAATGTGGCGTACCTAAGAATGTTCTATATAAATATCTTCATGTAATTGGTAAATAAATATTTCTATTTCCATTATAGTTATGCAAGTAGGATTTGATTTCTTTCCTTGGGAAAAAAGTTTACAATTGACCAATATTGTCAAAGGTTTGGACTCTGGATGGTAGATAAATTTATGGTCAGCAGTCATCAGCATCAATAAGGACTGGAAACTTATAAAGGCTTCAAAATCAATCTCCTGCATTCAAATTCAACATCTGAAACTACAAGGAAGTTTATTTTTTGAGTAATTGAAATTCCAAAGAATGTCCTGCCAATGATATTACTATATGTGCTTTAAACCTCCATGGTCTGTCTAACTGTCTTGGTGTACTATGGAAATATACTGATTTGGGCAAGACAAACTTGTCCAGTCCGGAGAATTTGTTATAGACCTTAAAATTTTAAGAGTAATGCTATACTTACAAAGATCTTCATACAAATTGATATAACAAAAAATGAATGGAAAAATGAATTTAATGAGTTTGACTTTTTGTTTTACATTTCATTCATTTTTTGTCATCTTACATTATATGCAAATCTTTGTAAGATTTCTTTATAAATATAGTATTATTGAAATTTTAACGGCCAAATGCACGTGGCATGAAATTTAAAAAGTATAGCCTTCACGACGAACCCGTTAAAAGAGTAAGACCACCATTTACAAACAAATTTAAAGACAAAATGAGAGATGAGGTTAATTTAGACAGTTGACATTAAGGGTTAAACAATTTAGGTTAGATATTAAAGAAGCCTAAAGGGTATATATGTATAGAGATATATAATATAATGGGCCATGGAGAGAGGTGATTGAAATGAGTGGAGAGGGATAAAAGTTTAATTAAGTCATAAGGGGGTGCATGCCACTTTGAAAATAAAAAAATCTTAAAATTGGGTAATGTTAGTTTCACATGCTTTTGATTATTATGTCTGTGATTATACAGTAGCCAAACCCATAAATTAATTTCTTTAACCAACTTCTGTTCATGTTAGTTTTTAAAACGTACACTTGGACCGATCTTGGTAAGCCACAGGTGTTTATTAATATTTAATGTTTTAATCTCCAAAAAGGCAAGGACGAACAAGCAGTGCACTTTTCTCTTCTGGCAATTGGGATTGGATTGAAGCTTCAGTTGGAACTGAACTATGGCTCATGAATCGTGTACTTATTTCATTGAAATTTGGATGGGCTTAGCCAGTTGGGCAATTCTCATTAAAATATTAAATAGGCCGCAGCAAAATTGTTAAAAAGAAAGTGACTAGACAATCAATTTCCCTTTGGCAATCAGCATACAATATTTTGCATATATTTTTTAATTCTTTCAACCCCATTTTTTCCTAATGGGAGAAGATTTGCTCTAACAATTTTTTTTTCCTCTTTTTCAACAAGTACCCAAAATTTATCCAATTACTGTATTGTTAACTATATCATTCATTAAATCATTATTTAAATTATATATGACTGGAATTAAAAAAAAATTATACAAAAAAATAGTATTGTACTTTCTTATGGACAAGATTATAATAAGTGAACAGACTGCCCATCTGTTAACTTGTTAAAACTCTTTAACATCTAAGCATATCACATGTCTGGAAAACAAAATTGTCCAACTAGGAAAATTAAGAAAAATGATTATGCACAGAATCATCGTGGCGGTCTCCACCTACTTAGACATTAGAAATTATAAAATAAAGATGATTATAGCTTGCATTGTAAGTATGATAACAGTAAATCAATGGCATTTGAAGATAAGCAACATGGTGGGAAACCTAAAACCAGGGCATTATTTCTCAAATCCCCAAAGCCAAGGGCATAACCCATTTGCATTCAGTACAAAACAAAAATTACCATAGAAATATTCAGCAGTAACAGAGCATAAAAAATTACATATGGTACCAAAAATGGAAGAATATCTAAAAATATGAAACCTGTAAATGATAGTTAAAAGAGGAAGAAGGGAAAAAAAATATAGTATGCATACAAAAAAGTCAAGGCAGGTAAGTTGGGTGTGAATCTGATATACCCCTTGGGTTCGCAAAGAGATGAGTGAGTCAGAATAGAACTAATAATACGACAACATCGTTATCGTTTTCAAAGGAGACTTAGGCATTTACAGATCTAAATCTATAAAAGACCCATCTCTCTGTCTCTTACAATCAGGCCATGAGATGAAGCAGAATACACAGCCAAAAGCAGACATTAAACACAACTGGAACCTTTTGGTTCTGTCTGCTTGTGTTTATCCTCCAAATCGCATCCTCATAACTTTCACTTATTTTCATTCCCGATTAACCAAAACAATTTCAAATAATTATACATAAATCTAGGAAACAAGGTATTAATTAGTTCACAATTTCATATTATGACGGTACAGATCAAGTTGCCAAAACCCAGTTTACATACAAAAATTTAGAAAACAAAGTCACAACCCAAATTAAGAAAACAATAAAAGTGGAAACTCATAAAAAAATATACATAATAATTATAATCATGATAATAATCAATAAATCAACTACCACGATTACTAGAATTCATCTTTTCATAGAACCGAATCGAAAGCAGGGACAAGGAGAGATGAACCTCGTCTTTTCCCCACCGCGCCGGCTGCTTGGAGCCGATCTTCCGAGGGAACGGCGCCCAATTCGAGGAAGAAGCTGAAGTCGATGTTGGAGCCGAAGTCGATGCTGAAGTTGACGTCGAAGTCGAAGTCGAAGGCGAAACCGTAGATTTAGTCGGCCTTGAAAGCTGGCAAAGATAGAGAGAGTGAAGACGACGGAAGCCACCAAGAGCAAGGACCACGGATCTCAGTTGTTGGTTACCGCAGCCAACATTAGCCAAGTGGCGCGTGCAGATCAGCTCCCAAAGACGCTCGTCTTGAGAGGTTTTGTACCACTGCTTGTTGACGCAGGCCGCCGTGGCTAGAGTTTTTGCATCAGCATGTTTCAAAACCTCGAAAAGGAGGTTTTCGTCCAAGTCCATGAATCCCGTATCATTAACTTGTTGTTCTTCCTCTTCTGTTTGTTTAACTTTCTTCATCTTAGGGTCATGTCCGCTAACCGGAGAATCAAGAAACGTACGCTTCATGATGAAGAAGGTGTTTTTAGAGAGAGAAGAAATGACGAGAGTTTGGTGGTGGGTTGGGGGTATGGGTAAGACTAAGAGAGCTGGTTTGGTGGGTATCGAAGACGACAAGGAGAGAAATGAATGATCTTCGATTCTTTTTACTTTCTTCGTAATTTTACCATTTTGTCCTCCTTTCTTTTCTTTTTTATTTATATTTTATTGCTATTTATGTGTCTTTTGTTTTTAGCAGAATACTTTCAACAAGTCTAAAACAATAAACCGCCACCAATTAATCTCTTATGTACATGAAATTGTAAACTCTTTTTGGGCTTTCAATCAATGTTGTGAAAACTAGACTGGACCGTCCAATCAAATTGGTTCGATCAAGAGTTGATGGTATTTCTGGTCTGGTATCTCATAAAAATCGCCATTTTCCGTTAAACTGGATTGAGCCGCGGTTGAACCGCTGGAATACTACGGAGTCGCGGTCTAATCGTCGCTCAATCCCGCCAGATTCCAGCATCGTTCGACAGAGAAAACACTATAATTCAATGTGACGACATCTCCACGACAAAACTCAGCCATTTTCAGTCGCCATCGTCGCTCGCCGTCCACCTAAAGTTCACACGACAGTCGGGCTTCTTTCATTGATTCCGACGAGTTCTGGTGCCGATGGAACTCCCTAGTACCACCATCAAATTTGCCAGAACCTATACATCAAAAGCCCAATGATTCCAACTTCGATTGGTCGTCGATTGTCGTTGTCGCCACCACTCACCAGTTTCTTCGCGTGATAGGGGTGTTTTAGACAGATTTCAAACCTTAAGGGAGTATTATAAGGGTGTTTTTGATGAATTTCAAACCTTCGGAGACTAAAATAATTTTATAGAATACTGTCCAACCAACCGATCCAACTGGTCAAACCGGAAACTGGACCCTTGAACGGGTCATAGTCCGGTCCGGTTTTCAGAACATGGCTTTCAATTACTCTTCCAGTTCCACTCTTTAAATTTACTTAACTTCTAAATAACCAAAAATGCCAAAACATTTTTTTTTTCTAAATTTTTAAGGAATAATTAGGTAATATTTGGTTTTAACCGTAAGAGGCAAGAAAGGTAAACGTGTATCTTGGTCCAAGGAGTTTGTGAAAATGAGATTAGATGTTAATAAAAATGAAATTAGTGATGAGGCAACATCAAACAATACTAAAAAAATAAATAATAGGTTTGATTGGGGCAGGAGTTATGGCGCACCAAATAATGGGCGGATGGCAAGTGGATTGATTGGTGAAGAAATAACATAGCACGGTATTAAAGGTAACGAGTCTTCTCAGAAGGGAATAAATAGAGGTGGGTGAAAGATGAATGGTTGGGATTAATCCAAGTTATTTATTTTTCTATTTGAATTATTCCTACCAAATCCCTCTTGATCTTGAATCGAAACTGATACTTTTGGCATTTCTCAACGCACTATTATCTACTGCCGGTTCTTCATCAAAATATCACTTCAATTTCAATATATAAATACATTTTGGGGTTTCTCCCTACTGAAATGTTATACTACATTAACATCAAGTTATGAAGAAAAACCCCGTACCATGACAAGCAATATATACAATACAAATAAAAACAGAGAAACTAATTGAGTTTAAACAAAAAGTGTGAGAATTGGAAATAGTGTTTAGATTAAAAGCAACTGCGACAGAGACCTCAATTTTGTTGGGATGATTAACAGACAATTATTCACAACACATGATTATGACGTACTGGAATCTGGGTAAACTACAAATCATTAACGCAATATATAATCCTTCCGGTTTTGTTTTTCATTAAAGATACAAATTAATACATTGTCAATAATGGAACAGCTACGATTTTTAATAACATGGGCCACTTGATGTCTGTCCATTTCATCTCTGAATGGACTACTTCACAATAACATCAAGTCTACGGTCTACCTAAGCACAAGAAGTGGGGTAAGTATATGATCCATTAGGCGTTTCTTAAACACAGGAAAGGGCTTCGACACAAACACACCTCAATAGCTGCCTGTTTACTATTTTCTCCTTTACCCGTTTTACCGTAAGTTTGACTAGGCTAGTTGTTAATATCTGAAGCTCTCCATTTTACATTTTGTAATTGCAAGAAGTGGGGGTAAGTATGTGATCCATTAAGCTGTTTGTTGTGTGCCTAATTCACTATGTCTCGGCCTCACTTTTGTGTCCAACGATATATATATAAAGGCAATTTGTACCGTACGTATACATGGTTGCCCAGCAGGTTTTGAAGGTAGGAAGAGGATTGACAATTTGTATATGACTGGTTGTTAATCTTATAAGAAAATCATCAAAGTGGTTCTTTGATTCCTCTGTTCATGTAGTGCATTATGATTTTAACAATACACCTTTTTTGCAACTGCATTTTATTCCCCTCTCCCATTTTCAGCCCAAACATTCTGACATTAATTAAAATAGCAAATGGCTGCCATTCATATTCATGTATGGAACGAGAGAAGAGTTAAAAACGAAAACTTGTATTAACTATTATCCATTAATACAAAGAAGACACTTCACAGTTTTTCACAATGCTATGTTTATTTGTTTCTCACAAAATGTCATTGCCTGGTAATTGTTTTTTTCCTAGATGAAACAAAAAATAAAATCAGATATTAAGTAACATAAGAATGCGGGATAGTAGTACTGCCCAACAAGCTCTTGATGTGATTTCATCAAGACGTCTTTAGCACATCATTTGTGACCAATCCCTCTTTTACTGGGACCAGAATATGCTCGAGCCATGTTCAACTTGGTAAATGAAGTAAGAGAAAGCCGGTGATTGATAGGCCTGGTAGCATTTACTTGTACAGAACACGAGATCAAGATAATGAGAATGATAATGACAGAGATGGACAAAGCTAAAGAGATGATACGATGAGGTTGCTTCATTGGTATGTATACTCTCGCTGCTATGCTTAGTTGATTGGGATCAATTAATGACCAATTCTTTGGGGGTATAAATAGGAGAAGAGGCAAGCGAGAATAAGTTGTTGAACTTAATTTTATTTTATATTTGGGTGGGTCAAGGGAGATAAGGGTTATAGAGGAAGACAAATGTACAAAATTAATTAAGCATCAGTTTATTAGGAATTGAAGTTGGACCTACTGTGAAGATTAAAATAAGAATATGGAATGTGAGAAAGGCTAATTCTACCAAATTTAAGATTGCACATGTATATCACTTAATTTAGCTCGTGATTGACAGATGGAGGGAAATAAGATATGTCAAGTGTCAACGGCATGAATATCATCAGCACGAGTTTGTTTCACACGTTAAAAAGAAAAAAATGTCAAACTGACAAAGTGCCAGCGGAGGCGGCTCTTGCCGTTTGGTCAAGGATCCTTCAGTCTGCAAAGATTTTTATTAGAAGAAATGCAACAATTATGCAGAGATTATAATCAAAGATGAGGTCCTGAGACTGAGAGCTTATATTCAAAATTAATTATGACTTTATTTTTCTTATTAAGCACATGACTCGCCATGTATTGACTTAGAGATTACCACATATTCCCCATGCCTCACGAGGATGACAATGGAATAAATGAAAATCTTATGTCTCTTAAGTCATATGAGAGATATGGATTATGTCGATCATATGAGAGATAGTTAAGTGTATTATAAGATTACGAAAAACAATTGAATCATCATTATAAGATCACTATAATACGCATTTTTGTCCCTTTTAAACAGAAAAAATAGATTTAATATGATCTACGTACACGGGAACAAAAACCATCTAGATAGCCTCCGGATATCTTGCCAACTTACGGGAACAGACCCAGTAAGTTGGATAGGAAATCCATTATCAGACCTTCAAAAATCAAGCAAAATTTGACCTTGGTTTCATTAATTATTAGAAACCAGCTGTTTCCATTCTTGCAGGAATTGCCCTGTAAGTCATTAGGTAGAACAGTAAGTTATTAAGAGAAACTTGTAATGTTATAATTTAGTGATATGCATACATGACGCCAACCAATATTCATTGTTGCGCAACGGATTCTGATTACAAGATATACGCGCGGCTTCAGCAAGAATGCCTGTATTACTGATAACTGGTTCGATAGCTTCAAAATGAGAACATATGGCGGTTTGCTACAATATTCAAAACTCAAGAGCTAGACCTGATCTTGCTAGAAGCTAGGAAGGATATTATTATATGCAAGTGGTCTATACTCTTATCACATTCCTCTTCAGGAATTTTGAAAATTGTAAAAGATCTCGTGCTCCCTTTGAAAATTGCCCCCTTACTTTGAATTAATTAGTTAACTTGGAAAAAGAAGTCATTTTATATATTTCGAAAAGCTCCTGACACAGACAGCTAAGCTTTGTCGAGATAAACGACTGAACAAAGGTAATACATAAATAGATACTATAAATTAAAGCTGAGACACGGCCTTTTCAACTTCATGATCCATCTGCCGTCCTGTGACAGTGAGCTAGCGCGGCATACGAATAACCGTTGCCCAATCAAAAGAAAATTAAGGATCTAGCTGACTCTGTTTCTAAAGCATGAGAATGAGACCGACAAATTACATACAAGGAAACCATTGTTACAAGGCCCACCTCTGCACCGTCTTTAATATATATTAGTTATATATGTTAAGCATTTTCCTGGAAAGATACCCAGGAAAGAAAAAAACTCAGGCATTCAATTCGATTCCATTGTTTATCATCATTCATCTACCTTGATTTTCAACACAACGCGTGGCATGAAATTTACACGTAGATGTGTAAACTAATTAATGGATTGCTATTTTCATGAAATACATTAAGAAAAAGAAGAGAAAACGAGCACCGCGTAGCAGTTAATTTATGTAAATACACGCGTTAGGTGATGAAAACCGTGTGAAACCATGTTTATTATTTGAACGTGATCATGCAAAACCATAACAATTTAACTTAAATCTGTATGTAACACTTATCGTTTTCCTTCTTGCTCGATCGTTTTCTAGATCTCTTCACCACTTCATGTCGTTTGTAATATGCCAAACCAAACCCAAGTACTCTCAGTAAAGTCAACTCCCAACGCCATCAAAGATTTTGTCAAAGTAAAAGCTATTCTCTAAC